TATCTTCTATAAAAAATTGATTAGAAAAGAAAATATTCCGCTCCATTACAGTAGATAGCAAGACGAACTCATGAACTGTTTAATCGTATTGTAGCCATGAATAATGATTCAATCAGTAACCGACTTTAAGTTCAGAATTTCAAAATTTACACACATGTGGTTCATTACTTAAAAGTTATTAAATGCTTAATTTTATTATTGAATTTTAAATACAAATTAACTGTAGTCAGAACTGAATTTGTAGAATAATTTAATTATGAATATGTCGACGAATTCAGTTTTGGGCTATTGAATGGTTAAAAATGATCGAAAGATTTTTCATATTTTAAAGCAAAATTTTCTCTTATAATATTTTGTATTAATAATTCATTTAAAGTCTTTTGCTCAGTTTTAGATATATTTACAAATTATTAAATAAATTGAAAATCAAATTAGAAAATAAATTGAATAAATATTCTTAATTCTTAATATTTCTTATTTTTCCATAGTAACCACAGATGGAGGACCTGAGACTGTCTGTGGAAAATAAGCAAGTTTCAGGTTATCACAACACCTTCACACACTTTCACTGGAATATAAAGAAGATTTCTGGGGATATACTGGAATGTAACATTAAGCAGTTGAGAGTATGTATTTAAGAGGTTAAAGGGATATTGTAACTAGTATTTCAAATCCTGATAACATCCCATATGCTGCCGGTGGGACCTAGATAGGATGTCCTGAGGATATACTGGGATGTGACATTAAGCACTCGGGAGGATGAGTTTAGGAGGAAACTGGGATATTACGGGATGTCCTGAGGATGTAGTAAGTAGGACTTTAAATCCTAATAACATCCCATACACTGTCAATGGGACATAGATAGGATGTTTTTAGGATATAATGGGATGTTTTTAGGAGGTTAGTGGGATATCCCGGAATGTCCTGAGGATGTAGTAAGTAGGAGTTCATATCCTAATAACATCCCGCACGCTGTCGATGGGACTTAGTTAGGATGTCCTGAGGATATCCCGGAATGTGACATTAAGCACTCAGGAGGAGGTGTTTAGGAGGTTCGCGGGATATTCCGGGATGTCCTGAGGATGTGCGCATATCCCGTGAGCAACATCCTCGGGATATCCCAAGGATGTTTTTGTGCTATGTGGGTTATATATATATATATATACAGGGTGAGCATAATTAAACTTGGCCTATTCAGAGTACTCTGTAACTGTAACTGAAATACATATTCATTCAAAAATATGTAGTGACACAATTCAAAGGATGCACTGAAAGAACAAAAAAAAAAAAAAAAAAAAAAAAAGGCTAGGGTGCACATTACAAATAAATAATTGCGGGCTATTTTAACATTTTTTAGAGCTCTTGAGTGAGTAGCATTCTTTCAATTATAATGAATACAGTACAAAGTCTGTAATCTGGACCTCAAAGCTACAAACTTTTATTTGTATGCATTATTTTATTTGTATGCGCGTTTAGCACAATAAACGAAACAACTTACATTCAAAGAAATGTTTAATAAAGTAAACAAATAAATAATAAGCTTTTATTTTGTAAATATTGATATTTTTTAGATCATAATTGCTCTTTATTTCATAAATTCTGGTTTCATATCTTTAATTGTATAATTTCTGCATGCCATCTTACCAGATTTAAATTGAGGATCTATAATCCGGAAAAACCCTTAACCTGGAATCGCCGAAGTTCCGACAAGTCCGGATTATGGACTTTGTAATGTATTAGTTTCAGAGATCATGCATTAATTATGAAACTACGAAGGCTGTAAATTAAGTAATGGCAACATAGGTATAAATCAATTTTAATGAACTTAGAAGTGCAATTGCATCACATGCCTTCTATGTAATCACCATGCCTTCTATGTAAAGCTTATAACCTTTTGCCAAATGTCGGGAAGCCATTGTAGACCAGTGGCAAGGTGTTGATTGTTGATGTGAGCGACCGAGCGCCCTACTGCATGGAGCACAAACGAAATGTCATGAAATCGGTGACCTCGGAGGGGCTCCTTCAACTTCGGAAACAGATCGAAGTCACAAGGACTCATGTTGGATGAGTAGAGAGGGTGTTCCAGGATTTCCCACTGCCACCATCGTAAAAGAAAAGTGACTTTGTTTGCGACATGGCAACGAGCGTTGTCATGCAATATGATAAGGAGATTGTTGTGCTGTGCAATAAACGTGACGTTTGTGCCGCATAGCTGGACGCAGATTATGCTGTAGGAATAGGCAATAGTAATCTGCGTTGACAGTTTGTCCTTCAGGTACAGCATGTGTAAGAATCACACCATCTCAGTATGCCATAATCAGCATAACCTTCACACGACTGGGTTCCTGTCGAAATTTCTGCGGACGTGGCGAACCTTGGTCATACCATTCATTTGATTGACGCTTTAATTCAGGCTGATAGGCTCGTGCCCCTGTCTCATAAATGGTGAAAATACACTGCAGCAATGCGTCTCCTTCATTGCGGTATCTCTCCAAGTGGGTGCCATTTCTGTACTTCGGTTAGTCGATGTAGAATTCAGCGGGAAGCAATTTTCCTCATGTTGAGAGATTTCTTCATTATGCGCCACACCGTTTGATGACTCAGACCAACCTGATGAACTCAGACCAACCTCTAAGGATAATTCTCGGACAGTCCATAGGCGATCTATGGTAAGGAGATCGCTCAGGATGTCAATCTGCTCTTGAGGAATGGAGGGCCGACCTGTGCATTGCAAATCCACAGTCTCATTCCGACCTGAACGAAATGCTTGAACCCATCGTGCTACTGTCCTATACGGTAAAGCATTTGTGCCACAGGCTTCCACTAATCCTCAATAGCATTCTGTTGCATTTTTGCCATGGCTAACCTCGATTTTAAGCCATGATCGCTGATCACCTTTTGAAAACATGCTTTAGAGCGATGGAAACGAAATTCGTCACTTTAGCGCCACACAACAACTACCCTTCTAAGCAGATCGACTGTTTTCTGCACTCTTCGACAACAGTGCCACCTCACTGCTCCCATATCTTATTTGCGCATGTCTACCCTTCTGCGAGTTTCAAGGTTAAGTTGCCACTATTTAATTTACAACCCCCGTATTTCCGTGTTTTACAAAAATCAGGATAATTCTGTATCAGCTCTTCGTGAATTTCAGAGTCAAAAGAAATTGTGCTGAGAACTAGTTTCTCTACAAGGTGTGACAAACATAATATTTGGATTCTGAAAAACTTGATTATGGCAAAAGGCGAAAACCTATTAGTGAAGTTGTTTTAGAGGTGGCAAGAGCCATTCTCGAGCAGTCACTGATGAATAAGCATGATGTCACTAGGGTACATGCAATATCACTACAATTAGACATATCTTGTGGAACAGCAGGGAAGCTACTGAGAAAAATAGTTCACTTCTATTTAAGAGTAGCCACAACTAGCATCTGCTTGTCACTGACAATGACTGTTATTTATCGTTTGCACCGACTTTCTTGCCTGAATGAAAGTCGATGATTCTTGGCCATAGAACATCCTCTGCAGTGATGAGGCACATTTTTATCTCAAGAGAAGCATGAATACCAACTGGACCATGGAAAGTCCACATGCCTTCCACACAATTCCACTACACTCACCTAAAGTTCCCATCCTGGTGTGGATTCATTTCCCAATTTGTCCTTGGACCATTCTTCTTTGAGGAAAATTATGATAATTTCTCTGTAACATACTGTGTAACAACCCTCAGATATTGTGTCATGCTCAACAGTTTCTTCTTACCTTGACTTCATTAGCCTTGCGTCTACCACTTTTATGTGGGATGATGCCTTTACACATAATGGCCTCTGAGAATAGAGGTTTTCGAGGCAACATTTTATTGATACCAGGGTAATTAGTCACTCATTTCCCACTCCTTGGCCAGCCTGATCTACTAATCTCAATCCATGTGATTTTTAGCTATGGAACTATTTAAAGAGCGTGGTTTATTGGAAAAAACTTGCAACTTTGGCTGACATCTGAAAAGCTGTGTAACGTTGCACAGGTGAAAGATAACTGGCGATCAGCTACGGTCAGCTGTTGAACACCCTGTTCATTGACTACACATTTTACAATTTAATGAGGGGATTCCCGCTGAACAATATGCTTTAGATTGCTAAAAAAATTTTTTTAAACTTTTTTTTTAAATATTTCAGAGCATCCTTTGAACTGTCTATCTACAAATTTTTGAATCAATTGGAATTTTAGTTACAACTACAGAGTGCTCTGAATAAGGAAAGTTTAACTACGATCACATAGTAAATATATGTATATATTTGATACTTCAAAATTTACATTAAACCAAGGTTACATTTTAACCTAATTTAAAATTCTACACTGGCATTTTATTTTTCTAATTTGATTTGACTATTCAAGTTTCCTGTCACACATTACAGATGTACAATGAGAAATATTTTTATCGAACACCTACATCCAATTTAGCCCAAAGACGCAATGCATTACTAACTTGGACCTGAATCCTTGTCATATTTTTGTGGGGCCTGATATGTTAAACATATTGTTCTTGTGCTGATATTGCCATCACAGTACATTCAAAATCTGCATTATCTATATTGTCTCATCAATCACATTCAATATGCTTCAATGTGTGTGGAATGAAATGGACTGTAGACTGCATGTGTATCCTGACATAAAAGGATCTCATACAGAGCATATGTATGACAGGAAATTAGGATAGCCAAAATTTAATTTAATGTATCACTGGTAATATGGGTCAATTGCATTGTTTACTATAACCTTTTGTAACAGGATGATTCCTTTGACTTGTTGTGTATTATGGAATAATTTACTAATAAACTCCACTAAGAATTTTTACACTCTACTCCTTACAAACAAATATTACTGTGATAAAATATTTAGTTATTATTTATTAGCATAAGGAGAAAAATACTTTCTTAATACTAATTTTGGGAAAGACGTTAAAAAAGCAAAGAATATCAGTTAGAAGGAAGGACTTCCTACTTCATCACAGGCTGCACATCTGGGCTTGAGACTTTCTGCATGATGCCGTCCACAGTATAGTTTCCCATCTTTGAAGAAGTAGATGAGATCCACCAGCAACTCCTTGCAGACGCAACATGTAAAGCATCCTGGGTGCCAGCAAGAGGTGGGCCCTGCTCTGGATGCGAATACAGCCATATCTCCCCTGGATATGGCTTCTTCACACTATAGGAAGAAAGTATCATGATTAATGCCAGTTGCTGCAAGTGAAAAAACAATAAACATATTCATATATAAGACAGGAAGAGAAGGAACTGAAAAGATTAAATGTACAATTTACTATAATTCTTATAATTCTTTTATATAAAAAAGGCTAGTACTACAAACTGTTTTTTTAATGGCCAGGCATTTTATTTAATAGCCATTAGCCTTGCATCACTACAAGGGCCAGAACTGGAGCCCATTTCATTATAAAAGCACCTAATATGTGACCACCGCTGCCTCCTATGAAGGGACGAACAGTTACAACCATCCGGGATTCGAACCCAGGCCCATCGCTAGGGCAGTCAGCGTCATTAACCACTATACTGGTAGGGTAGGCGCTAGTACAAACTATCTAAAAACATTTAATTGCATTGGATGTCCTATTAGTTTGGCATCAAAGGCTTTAAACACAAGCTTCCAAGATAATGGAGAGATTGTCAATGAGATTTTGAGTAATCTCTTTGACAATCTGTTTGAGAGTATTAATTAATTTATTTGAGAACTAATATTACTCGACTTTGCCAGTCAGACTACCTAAAATTTATGATTAATTGCCATGACTGCTAGTCTACAACAGTTGGAAGAAAGGATGTCATGCCTGTCAGATTGATATGAATGGCATTGAACAAGTGTTACTGGAATGGAAGTATCAACTGGATCTTTGTCTTATACATTAAGACAGATCATTCAACAGAATTGATATATATATATATATATATATTATATATATATATTTCTAAAATTCCTTTTCATGCTAGAAACAATTTTGGCATTGTGTGACCTGATTATATTTCCTCATCGTGTTAATCAGGTAACTTAATTGCTAGTAGTTTAGATTTTAATATAAAAAGAGAAAGGATATAAATTGAGCTTTACAGAATGACTTATGCTTTGCCTTTTTCAACAAAGATTTACTCTTTACTTGATGGAAGAAAAATTTCGCCATCTATTTCAGCAGTGACAGGTGACATCTGATAACTCTCTGCATTTGAAAGAAAAAAGGAAATGAACCAGGATAACAGCCAGGAAAGATATGTGTCCCTTTACTTCTTCGCATCAAGTATTTATTAAATATTCAAACGATAACTATGTATTATCTGATATCTGCCAATGCATCGCTAACAATTCATTGGTATCTTTTGGGGACTGAAGTACATTTTCTACGTCGGTAGACTGATTAAATTTTTTTTTTAAATTCCAGCGGTTATTGTTTGACAATCAGATCACTCCGTAACTTATTTTCTGAATAACTTATTATTTTCTAACTTATTTCAGCTGAATAAGACGACAAGCCCAAACTTTTATTTTAACACTCTGTAGTTATTTTAACACTCTGCATTTCATTTATTCATCATATATTTTCCTTCATATTCAGTTTCAGTAAGTGACTTTTTGGTAAAATACCATAAGCCTGAAAATAATGCATTGACCCTGATTGAATTCTCATCAGATCTGGTAAACGCATTTAAAAAAATTAGCATGAGATGAATAAACAAATGGTTGTTTAAGTTGAAATGGCGTCAAACACCTGAATGCTTGGACTCTATCCGAAATCCAACTTATTTGGACGTGCGAATTATTAGCATTGAATAACTTACATACTACGCAAGCAGTGAGCTTAGTATGTCAAGACGTTGCACAACATTTATAACAATTTTTTCAATAGACGCTGGTTGCAAATGGTAAAAATCAGAAACACAAAACAAGAAGAATATCGGTACAAAATGGAGAATATCGGTACAAAATGGTGCCCGCAAGTAACTAAAATATAACAGATTAATAAACACAAAATAATAATAAAAATATAGAACACAAACAGGTATATTAAACAATTGTTCGGAAATGCTTTCCAAGAGATAAACATTAAGGAAAAAAAAAAAAAAAAAGACGCAATGCTAATATACAGAAGCTGTTCGCACATTTTTTAGACGATTATGGTAAGCGGTTGCAGGGTTTATATTTATTTTAACTAACATTTATTTTAAGCTATCTTTCCTGTCAAGCCTTTACTTTCCCCTGGAATTGCCAATGCCAGAGTATGTAAATCGTAGTAGAACGCGCAGAGTATTCAAATTTTTAGCAGAAGTAATTTGAGTTAAATATAAGGGAAACGAGATTGTAGGTGTACTTCTTGAATCACGAGCGTGAAGGCTGCTTGGTAGAAAGTTTAAGAACCGCGCGTTTCGGCCTGTGCGCCTATTTCGACAGTTAGTTGAATCTTTCAACTTCTTAATCAGAAAGTTTGCTGAATCTCAGCTGTATCTTAGAACGCGGTTAAGATAGTTACGATTATAGAGCCTCGTAGATAGTGACTTCATTAATTACGCATCCTGTCATTTATTTTTAGTTGTACTTTTCTATTTTTCTAACAAAGCAGTGGTTCGAAGGCTACATTTACGCTCTTTCCGAAGAGAAATATGCATAGCTCCGTTATCCCAAAACGATGTGGGAGTCATGGTTTTGTGATATTTAAAGCGTCCATAGGTAATATCATCAAGAAGAAAGGAAAAAAACGTCAAATTGGAGCCTCAAGTGGGACAAAAATTCCAAACAAGTATCCAAGGAAAAAATGGACATCTTCGACTATTGGAAAGGTATACGTTCTTTAATGTTAAAAGAAAATACCTCTAGTCAAAGGACAGTTGCAAAATCATTAAAATGCTCGGTGTCCACTGTAAACAAAATGATAAACGTTGATTTAAATCTTAAGAAAGCGAAAAAACGCAATGTGCATCGTCTTCTTCCAAAGCATATCGCTCAACGCAGGACACGCTGCAGAATTCTATATGAGAAACACTTATGTAAAGAAAAATGGAAAACAATTGTTACAATAGATGAAGCATGGGTGTATTTAAATGACTGTAACAAAAAAAGAGCCATTTATTATCATAAAAGAGGAGAAAAAAAATTTAAGTACATGGTTCAAAGAATCGAAAGAAGTTTTTCTAAGGGTGTTATGATTGTTGCTGGTTTTTTTTTATAATGGCATGTTAAAAATAAAGAGAGTGCAAAAAAATGTCAAGATTAACTCCAAATACTATCAGAAACATATTTTATCGCCAATTTTTCTGAACGAAATACCATCGCTTTACCCACAGTACTATCAATCTGTGAGACTCCATCAGGACAAAGCTAGCAGTCACACATCAAAATCTACTGTAAATTTCCTAAAAGAAATGGAACAAAAAAACTGGTATCAAGGTTCTATTACCCTTCACTGATATCCCTACTAAATCTCCCGATGTGTCACCTATGGATTTTTGTGCTTTTGGACTTTTAAAAACTGCATTATCCAAACGTTGTCCCAAAACCCTAACAGGACTCTGGAAAGCTGTTCGGGAGGAATGGGATAGAATACCTCTTCTGCCACTTCAAAAGGCATTATTATCCTGGAAATTGCGATGTCGAAAGATAGTTCAGAATAAGGGATGTCAAATAGAACATTTAAAACACAAGAATTTTATGTAATTTAGTTTTGTGAATACAATATACATCATCTAAAAAATGTATGAACAGCCTCTATATACTTGTCGAATTTGGTCTGAAATTTATCTCCATCCCCCAAACAATACAAGGAATATTAACAAGAAAACGAAAAAAGGAATAAAAAAACCCCCTCTTTAGGGGAAAATTCAGAACAATTTTACGGTTCCTGAACGCCTGCAGAAATCAGAATAAAAAGTGGTCTTGTTAGCCAAGAAGTAACACACGAGTACCAAAAATGCAGACAGGCCATGAGGACCAGCCGCATCGCGCGGCAGAATTTTAGAGCAGCAAGATTAACGGACAGCAAATTTTTTAAAATTTAGTGGAGACACTAAAGCAGAATTTTTAAAATTTAGGAAAGCGCTAGGCAAATTCCAGCAGAGATTAGCGCGGGACTTGTAGAAGACTTCGAAAAAGAAATTTTCAATTCTACTCAAAGTATTAACATATCACTTCGAATTTAAGCCGCACTTTTAGATTTTTAAGGTGTAAAATTAGATTGCAGCTCAAATTCAAAGAGAATATTTTAATATCTTATTTCTGCCGATCTCCCCTAATATTAGAAGAATGGCCCTGAAGAAATTATCAAACAGTCTTGTTTGAAATGTTGCGTTTGCGTTACCAATGATTTAAATGGTACTGAAGAGCATGTGTTCTAGTGCAACAGCAAAGCTTAAAATTTAAGTTTTGAAAGCGAAGATATCGGAAGTGATAATATACAGTACATCAGAAATTAGGCAGTGTGTTTTATTTATGCAAGTACCAATTTAATTAATCAAAAATGTTTCTTATTTTCCATTACCTATACCAAAATAATTTTTGCTTTCTATTACTTTTTTCCAATTTTGAAATCAACTAAAATTCGAAGAAATACGAGGAAAAATTGTGTTCTTCAAAATTCAGCAATTAATTTGATAATGAATTACAGTTTCCTGCAACTGTAACTCATTATCAAAATTCTTACAACAAAATCAATAAAAAATTTAAAGACTCGATAAATTCCTGTTGAGTTTATACGCTGCTAGCTTCAAATTTAGCAGTAAGCGAAATTTTTTAAATGGCCAAAGTAATATCCCATTCTCAGAAACTTCTAATAAAAACAACAAAAAATTTGAAAGACATGAACAATTAAAATCATTGCAGCATAAAGGCTGTGCGACCGGCTCTGGACCGTACATTAGTTAAAAGAAACTTCGTTCTGCTTATGATATTGCACAAGAAGGAATCATTCGATTGCCGTTATATCAAAAATACGATTCTGACAGTTCTTGTGTCCGTTGTAGATATGAATAATCCTTCTTTTTCGCACAAGTCTACGTCAAAAACGCGTAATTACCACGATGGAGAAAATAAAAGGTTACCTGGTTCACCGGCATAGCGTTCTGTTGTTCGCAAGCAACTACTGTAGCTTTATGGCTCCAAATTCAAGCGTAAATGGAAATACCACGTGCAGAAAAATGCGTGCACATACCTGA